GAGGGGCGAGTCGCCTTCTCCTCGACATGAGACTGTCACTGGGCATTATTTTTTTTTCTTGTGAGAATCTAACTTTTCGAGCTCGAACTCAGCCACGCTCTGGTGGTGTAACTGCCGCCCGTCCATGACTGCTTAATTGTCACAGCTAACCTTCATATCTGGAGGTCTTTCCCACATCTGCAACGCTGGGGACATGCCAAATGGCCGCTGCTAGGCACTCTGGAAGACATTCATGATATGTAACTATAAGCCCCTAATAATACGTAGTGCACGATGGTCAAACAAAAACGCGTTAGGTTAGGCTTGTTTTTATGACATTAAATGCAGCCAGCTCATAACCCGTAAATTTTTCTTTGTCATTTTGCTTATCCTTCGATTTTTAGAACGGATAACGGATGATCTCAAAGTGAACTGCGTCCCGAGTGTATACTCTTGTTTGTTTCTTTGCTTTCGGGTGTTGGTCGTTCGGTTCTCGGCGCCCAATTTGATGTCGTTCTGGCCGTCAATTGTAACAGAACTGATGCAAGTTTTGCTTCAGCTGGAAGACTACGTTAACATTGTGACTATGCACGTAGAAGATTGTAGGTAAGGCGGTTGCCATCTGCTTGAAATTAGAAGCTACTTTGCACTTCGGTCGTAAAACCAGAGTTTTAATAGATGCAGTTTTAAGCGCAGAAAAGATATTTGATTAAATGAACATCACTTCAATTACCCTCCATCTTTACAAGGCGCGTGATCAGCAGGATAGAAAACAAATTCGTTACTTCCTGTAGTTGATAATTATTAACATTTTATCATCGGATCGTTTCCGTTTACGAACAAAATAACACAGACATAAATATGACACTGCGGAAGGGTGTTGAGAGTAAATCAACAGCCTCACAAATGGGTTAGTCTTTCTTTTTATTCAACAGCATAGTAGGCACTACTGAGACTTACTGCCAGTTTAACGACTGAAATATTATGCAATAACAAAAGCGCTCAGATTGAAATGCTAAGCAGTGAAGGAAAGAAACTGATTTAAGAAAAGTGACATAGTAATCGACAGAAAATGAAGAAGCTACAACAAAGAAGCTAAGACAGTGATTAATTGTCGAAACTGAAAAACGTTTAGTCGCTCCACTGCAAGAACAAATGATAGACGATTGGCGAAGAATTCCCATCGAAGCAGAAGAGGCAACATTTACAAACCAGCTAACGACAAAGTTCTTAGTTCATGAGAATTGTAGTGCATTGTTGCCCTTCGTTTTAAACATTTTATATTCCAAGAGAATTTTTTTCAATTCTTCTGAAAGAATGGCACTCTCCTAGTAGCTCATTCTGTTACAAGTCTTCATAACCGAAATGTTCGCAGTCGATACATTTTTGCGCAGTTGAACTACGAAAACTAACTTGAAACATGAATCTGCATTACAGTTTACGGTCTATGTGCTTTGCGTACGATTCAGAACATCCACATTCTTAATTTAAGTTCAACGTTCAGAATTGACGTGGATCTTCCATGGCTGCAGGTATATTTGTCGGCTTCGAAGCTCCTTGAAACCTTGTGCGTTTTTCCAGCTGACAGATTGCAGCAGTTCCAGATGTAACTTTCATATATTCAGCATTTTTCTGTTTTCCGATTAGTAATTTTTAAATGTTGTAGGTACAAGTGGATTTTTACAGAAGTTGCTTATGACTCCAGTAGCTGCAATTTTTCGCCATTTGTGTTACGGGTCAAGGAAGCATTTTCAATATTGGTTAGTTGTTTATTTTTGCTTCCATTTTTAAGATAAGCTTTAGAACGGTGTGAAGCAAACTTCTGATCGAAAGTCGTTCTCCGTGTTACCACTAAAGCGGATCACGGACATCGCACAACTAGCTCCATTCTATCTTGGCTTGTCGCGTGGACATTGCTCTCCTGCTGGCGAGAAGACGTATGAAAACGACACTGAACAAGTGGCGCAGATCGAAGCTTCAGTTTTTGCAGATTTATTGGAAGACTGGCTGTTTTGATGAGCAGCCGTAGCTTTTTCGAAGCAAAAACGTTTTTTACTCATAGCAGCCGCATTCTTTTCCGTTGCATTCCTGTCCTCTTTAAATGTACGCTGTTCATTTTATGAGTTTTAAACGATTACGTATAATGCGAGTTTGTCTACGTTTGTACTTTACACTGTAGGTTTAATCCACAAAAATTGTCGCTGATTTTTAAATTGAATTTTAAACGTTCAACTCATAAAACCGAATTTGTTACAGTACTTTTTTTCAGAACCAAAAAAGTCAGTCAAATTTTGTTCACACCAATTTCGCTAATAAAACAAACGGTAAAATCAATATAAAATCAACATTTAATTTTGTAGCAGCTGCCACCGAATATAAGGGTTATATTTTGTCTGTAAAATGAACACATTCAATATGAAATGATCAAATCTCGCAATAAGAGTACCTTGATAAAAAATATTTTACGTTCACGAGTATTTTTCAGGAATGTTCGGACACTTGCTACTAGGTTTACATGTTGAAGAGAGATTGATTTACAGATGTTTCGATGGTATGGATTGCCACTTCTTTTGCTTTATTCAGCGTAGGAGGTTGAAAATGCCCGCTTACAGTTCAATCGTCGCTGGCCCTTTACTTGCAGTCATTTTTTGCAGCGAATATGTGTTCTTAGGTATTACCGATCGTCAGTCTGCAAGTTTTTACATTTCTTAACAGCTATACATTTCAGAGTAAGTTTTATTGACTGTTTGTCCTTTATGGCCGCGGAGGCAGACGTGTCAGACAGCGTCTTCAACGTTCCTGATCCTGCATTAGCGCTTTAACTTCGAAAAAAGTTAACCCGAGTCTGTAGTAAAGTTTGCCAAGACACTTGCTCCAGGTCATCCTTTGCCTTCCCCCGGGGTCTTCGACCGGCCAGTGTCGAGCAAGCGGCAGTCATTTCGCCTTCCTTTCTGGAAGCATTTGCAAACCTGCCCAAACCATCGCAGCTGTCACTTATCAATCTGGGAAGCACAGGCTACCAAGACTTTCTTGGATATATGAACTTCGGTCTCTGTCAAGAAAGGTGATTCCGGCAATTCGTATCGCAGAGCAGCCCATTTCAGCCACTGTACGCCTGATCAGCCATGGCCAGCGATTTCTGGCCACAGAACCTTTGTCATGTTTGTGAGCTTACATGGTCCTTGCATTAAGCTAACTGTCGCATGAAAGTGTCAAAGTTATCAAATAACGGTTGCTGAAATGCATACAAATTTGTTTTAATTGTACACAAGGCAAACTGTCAGCTGATCTGACAGCAGAACACCACCGACTTTTTCGTCCATATCTCACAGGTCTTCAGTGCAAGGCTGGCGGTCATCTTAGCTGATTTTCGTGTCGTCACCTATAGCAGCTCTTTAAGTCGAGCTATAAGGACGTTCTAGAATGTTCTGTGTAAATAGTACAAATCTCTTTTTGGACAGTAAGCTTTGAAAATACAGAAAATACTTAATAGAACATATCGCTGACTGCTGTAACTACATCTTGCAACATGGCAGGACTAAACAACAGACATATGTAGTAGTAAGTAGTAACAAGTATATGATTTCTTCGTCTGATGCGCGGACCTGACCTTGTTTCACTTAATCTGAAGTGCTGATGTCGTAGATAACTGTTTTGAGGATAGTTTTAACTTGGCCTTCGGTAGCAAAATCTGGTAGTGCGTGGCGTCTCGCAACAAGATACCGCTGCTTGCTGTAAGTTCATTTTCGTGATCAGCCCTTGGCAGTGATATTTTTTGCTGTAAGAGGAAGCTTTACACTCTTAGATCAGATTCTACGTGAAAGAGGAAGGCCTCATGTTTATCTGACAACATAACGAAAAATTAGAACGTTTAAAAAAGAACTCTTATGGACGTATTCCGCTGCTACAAGTTGCAGTTATGCAACTCATCCGAGTTTCGTGAAAAAGAAACAACACCTGTGTAGACTTAGCATGTGGCTACATGTGCGGTACCACTTCGAAGTTATCCGCGTCGCCCGTTTGTGACTCAGGGACATAGACCATTAATGATTAATTTTCTAGCAGTCCTCCACCGAAGCACTGTCGACCATCCACATTTTCCACGGTGTACGTTATCTAAGTTATTCAGAGACGCTGCACACTGCAAGGTCAGTGACACAGACTTATTGGAACCGGTCGTCCTCATCAGAGTAAATCTGTTCCACAAGAAGAGTTTGCAAATTTCTCGATAACAGTCTCAATGTATGTATGTATGTATGTATGTGTGTGTGTGTGTGTGTGTGTGTGTGTGTGTGTGTGTGTGTGTGTGTGTGTGTGTGTGTGTGTGTGTGTGCATATATGTATGTGTGCTTGTATGTATGTATTCATGTAACAGTCTCGATTCGTCTAGCCTTCGTCTCGATTTGCTAGATCGCTTCTAGGTGTGGCATAAACTGAGCGTTACAGCGAAGTTAAATATTTTGCAATCATTCGGTGTTTTACTTTTTCGCCAGAGAAATCAATGATAAAAGTTACCATTACCAATGTGCTGCCCAGGCATATAGCTGCTTATCTTAATCAACCAGACACTTTCAAAAACAGTGAAAAGGATAACACAGCAAATGACAGTATTGGCATTTATTCTTGTGCGGATTTTGACTCGATTCACGATTATAACGGCAATTCAGAGTTTAAGGCACCAGCTTGTTCGAAGTGCGTATCTAACAAGGACCATATTTGATTCTTTCCAAAGGATTCGCATTAACCGCGAATGCCATCTTGCTGCTGTCACCGTTCGAAGCCTTCGCATTTATTGACTTGGTCGTTTAGTTTAACGAAAGCACCGACAAAACGGTGCTTTGTCGTCGATCGCTTCATTAAAATATGCAGTCCAGCATTAAAACACGTTAGTGAAACGCAAACGAAACGTCAACGGAAATTCATTCTGAATTTAAGTGGCCAGGCTTCTGCAGTGTATCCCGAATTTTCTTGCCTATGTCAACCGATGATGCCAGACCAGAACAGATGAAAATTTACGAATGAAGTCCATGAATCGCGAGCAGATTTATACTTTCCTGAAGAACAAATGCTAGTCAAAATGGTAACCAGCCAGGAAATTAAAACATTGCTTGCGTTCCTGCGTGAGAAAACAAACAAATTTCAGGTAACCGTAGCAGTAAACAACTTAACTGAAACGATAAGCTACTTTCATTTTTAAAGAGTCAGCACAAAGCCTCAGAGGCAACGAAGAAGAGGAAGAATAAAGCTGAGACAAAATTTGTGCTTCTTTGCAAACAGGTGTAAATTTAACACAGATTACAGGCACTGACAATTTCAGAAGGACATCAGTCTGGATAACAGCAAGTTAAGGACCTTGTCAATCGGCCAATACGTCCGATTGTACTTCCTACAAAGAACTTTAGTGAAACGACCGAGAAAAGTTTTACGAGGCAGATTTCAAGTTTATTCTGGAACATCTGTTCAGACGAAAATATGCGAATGTACACAAACCGATATCGATTACAGTACGTCGGCAGAGGGGCGCTTTTCAACAAGTGTATGAAGCGAAGCGACAACTGCCACTATCACCATGCCTATGAATATGACGGTTCAGGACTTTAGCAACGAATTAAACAAGAAAAAGACATCAGTA